ACTCGGGGGTGGCAGCGGTGGTGAGGTTGGCCCAGGATCGAGCATTGTTTCGTTCTGCTGTGCATGGGGTCGCTATGAGTCGGTTCCGACTCGATGGAACCTGACAACAACAACAACAAGCCAGAATCAGAAGAGGACGTGGAATAAGCGATATTATTGCTGACGTTAAATGAACCTTGGTTAAAAGCCGAGAATAACAGAAAGATGTTTACCTATCATTTATTTACTAAACAAAGGCTTTCGATTGTGTGAATAATGACAGGCTATAGACAACATTGCAGTGAATGAGGATTCTGGATCACATAATTGTGTTCATGAGGAACCTGTACATAGACCAAGAAGCAGTTATTCAATCAGAACTAGGGAACACTGAATTAGGAAAGATGTGTGTAAAAATTATCAGTTTGAGGACTAAGGTGCACCTGATTCAACCCATGATATTTTCAATAACATGAATAAAGAAGACCATAGAACAATTGATGCATTTGACTTAAAAGTACCATGACTGCCAAAAGAACAAACCAATCTGTGTTGGAAGAAGTACAGCCAGAATGTTCCTTGGAAGCCAGGATGACCAGACTTCGTCTCTCATACTTCGGACATATTCCCAGAAGGCACCAGTCCTTGGATAAGTATATCATGTTTGGTAAAGTGGAGGGTTAGAGATGAAGAAGAAGACTCCCAACAAGATGGATTAGCACAGTGGAAGCAGCAGTGGACTCAGCTTTAGCAACAATTGTCAAGTTGGTGTGGGACCAGGCAGTGTTTTGTTCTGTTATGCATAGGGTTGCTAGGAGTTAATACCAGCTCAATGGCACCTAACAACAACAACAAAGTAGTATTTATTTCTCTATCACTTTACTTTTAACATATGAGTCATACTAAAAGTGGGTTTCTTGTAGACAAAATATCAGAGTAAGCCAGAAAGTATTGATATTACATCATAGAAACTTTTAAAAAAATAAACAAAAAGATCATAATGTGAAGCTATTGTCTCTCCATGTATCCTAGATCTATACACTTCTGAAAGCAGTGTTTCCATGTTAAAAGAAGTACAGACAGAGTTTTCCTTGGAGTCCAGGATGGGCAAACTTGGTCTCTCATACTTTGGGCATATTGTCAGGAGGGACCAGTTGCTGGAGAAGGATATCATGTTTGGTAAGGTGGAGGGTCAGAGGAAAAGAGGAAGACCCCCAGAGAGATGGATTGGCCAGGTGGCAGCATCAATGGGCTCAAGTGTGAGGTTGGCCCAGGACCAGGCAGTGTTTCATTCTGTTGGACATAGGGTTGCTATGAGTTAGTACTGATTAAATGGCACCTAACAACAACAACAACAACACTTCTTAGAAGAATTCTGCACTATTTGATTTACACCACACCAAAACAACAATTTTGGCAGCATCAAGGTACTCAAACCATGTTCCTTTTTAAAGTTCTTTGAGTTTGGGGGACAAAAAGAAGTTTGAAGGGGCAAGACCAGAGTTATAGGTTGGATGGCATAGGCTTTTTAATGAGATTCTTATAGGACAGACCTTGCTGTTGAAAAATGAGCAGGAGAAATGGGAAAAACTTTCTTCTGGCCTATCTTCAAGTTTACTGATTGTTTCTTCAGCTGTAACACTATACCGAGGAACCCATCAAAGGCACTCTTATTTTCTGTTATGATTTTTATTTCTTGATTTCTTTAGTGTCCTTTATCAGAGTTTCCATCCCTCTATTTATATTACCCTTCTGTTCTGGAATGTTGTCTAGTTTTTCTGCATAAGAAGTCCGAACACTTTGTTGTTGTTGTTAGATGACATCAAGTCAATGGCCTTATGCACAACAGACAAAACACTGCCTGGTCCCGGGCCAACCTCATAATCATTGCTACATTTGAGCCCATTGATGCGGCCATTGTGCCAATCCATCTTGCTGGAGGTCTTCCTCTTTTTCTCTGAACCGCCATCTTACCAAACATGATACTTTTCTCCAGTGACTAGCCCCTCCTGATATATGAAGTATGAGAGACAAAGTTTGGCCATTCTGGCCTCCAAGGGACACTCTGGCTGCACTTCTTCCTGCACAGATTTATTTGTTCTTGGGACAGTCCATTATACTTTCAATATTCTCCTCCAACACCATAACTCAAAAGCATCAATTCTTCTACGGTCTTCCTTATTCACTGTTCAACTTTCACATGCATATGAGGTTATTGAAAATACCATGGCTTGAATCAGGCATACCTTAATCTTCAAACTGACGTCTTTGCTCTTCAACACTTAAAAGAGGTCTTGTGCAGGAGATTTACCCAATGCAATGCATCATTTGATTTCTTGACTGCTGCTTCCTTGAATGTTTTGGGTTGATCCAAGCAAAATTAAGTCTTTGACAACTTCAATCTTTTCTTCATTTATATGACTGTTGTTTATTGGGCCAGTGGTAAAGATTTTTGTTTTCTTGACACTGAGATGCAATCCATATTGAAGGCTGTGCTCTTTGATCTTCATCAGTAAGTATTTTAAGTCCTCTTCATTTTCAGCAAGCAAGGTTGTATCATCTGCATATTGCAGGTTGTTAATGAGTCTTCCTCCAATCCTGATGCCACATTTTTCTCCATATAATACAGCTTCTTAGGTAATTTGCTCAGCATACAGGTTGAATAAGTGTGATGAACGAATACAACAGTCCTGTTGCTTACCTTTCCTAAGTTTAAACCATTTGGTTTAAACTTAAAGCGTGGTTATTTTAAATTCTATGACTGAGGAATTCCATAATCCTTGTCATATTTAAGTCTGGTTTCAATGTTTTCTTCATCCTGTTAGACTGTTTTGGGTTTTGTATTTAAGCATGCTTTTTAATTTTTTTGGTGATAGCAAGATACAAGATAAGGAAGCTTCTAAAAGTTCATGGAAAAATGAAATGAACAGATAACAGAATTTCTCCACCAAGTTTTGAAGCCCCCTCGTATTGGGATAATAGGAACTGAGGTAAATAAGCTTTTTCATGTTAGGTTTGAGGTTAATCTGGCTAGGAGTTGCATTGTGTTTAATGTCTACTGAAGCTGTACTTGCCATAATCTTCAAATTTCTCTAGTGTCCTTATTCTGTCTTACTTACTGACTTTGGCTTCCATAAGAGTTTCTTCTCAGAGTCTATGTACTTCGGTTCTTTCAACTATAGTCACTGTTATTATTATGGACCCCTGTTGTGGTTGCAAAGAGTTGGGGTAGGCAAAGCATTCTATGATCTTGTGATTTAACCTCAGTCTTTGAGTCGACCGAGGTCTCTGGGCTGTAATAGCTGTGATATTTGTGTTTCTTAACTTTCCCAGGGTCCTAGGTGAGCCAGAAAGGGTAGAAGGAGATGGAATAGTAGAAACACTCTTCCCACAGGTGGATGAGGCTCTGGTAAAGTCTCATTCACAGGGCAGCAGATCTTTGTTATAAAGACTGCTCTGAGTATATTTCACAATAATTGCTCTCCCCTTCTTCAGCCAAATTCAGGAGGGACTCATTCTCAACTCTTGAGAACAGAGTGGGGCTCCTGATTGTAAAACCCCACTGCCTGAGCCTATAACCTCCAGAAGTTTCTCACTCTCAAATCTTCAATCTCTAGCAATTAATCAAAATTCCATTTAAATCTTCCCAGGTTGTCCATTGAAGACTACAACATAGAAGAGAGACTTCTCGTTGAGACTTTACTCAGTCACTACAAAAAACACAAGGTGGAGATTTCAAGTGCTATAAATAAGACGTTTCCTTTCCTCCACATTCTCCGGGACCGTGGCTTCATCACCAATCAATTGTTTACAGTAAGTGAAGCTTATAAATCCATAACCTAGTAAGTTAGCCCCAAGCTACCTTATGGTTTCATATTCTAGATTCAGACTTCAGAATGCAACTTGTTGTCTCAGGGGCCTCTGTGGGTATTTCTGTCAATATTCCTGTTAGGTGAAAATTTTGAGAAAAATTAGACATCACCAGAGACATTTCTGCTTCTCACTGAAAGAACTGTCTTCCATGATGCCCATTGGAGTAGAAGTGAATGGCACAAGAGGCAGGCTAGCTCAGAATCAGGTGTGCTGTCTATAAATGTAATGTCTTATAGGAATTCATGCAATAAAGGATCAACTAAAATTTAAAGTGTAAAGAAGAGCATTGACTCAGAATTTCATCTCAATTGTTGGTGGTGGTGTTAAGTGCTGTCTAGTAGGTTCCAACTCATAGCGACCCTGTATAGGATTTCTGAAGAACAGCTGGTGGGTTTGAACTACCAACCTTCTAGTTTGAAGTCCAGTGTTGATCCAACTGAGCCACACCAGGAGTCAGCTTAAAATACTTAGATCTGAGAATATCAAACCTACAGGCAATTAGTACCTTGTTATTTGGGGAGCGGATGCTTGCTATTTTTCTTGCAGATTCTTTCTCCAACAGCTTTCAGTTTCTTAAAAAAATTTTTTTCATTTCCAGAGTGTTGGAACTTGAGTTAATTTTAGCAGTAGGCTTTCTGGGTGATACAGAGAAGCTCATCTGTTGAACTATAACCAAGTTGACAGCAGGAAGAGCCTCTTACCTGGCTTCCTGGGGACTCTCTGAATCAGTCTTAAGGAAAGGGCAGACTGTCCAATCAACACAATGACCAAACGGCACCAACTAAGACTATTCCTAAAATAATTTGGCCTGGCTCTTAAAGGGCTACGCATCCTTTACCTTTGAACTTGCTTTGATGCTTTGAAATGTCTCCTTCTTACTGCTCATTGACGTGGTGACAGCAGCAGTGGATTGAGGTTGGTGCAGAACTGGACTGTGTTTCTTTCTGTTGTGCATAGGGTTGCTATGAGTCAGAACCAACTCAACAGCACCTAACAACCACCACCACTGTGCATGCAAACGAGAGTGAGGAAATCAGATGCACAAATTAACTATTTTTTAAGGAGGAAGGACTTACTTTGTTTCCTTTAATATAAATATATGGTGGTTATGTGCCGTGGAGTCAGTTCCGACTCATAGTTACCCTGTACAGGGTTTCCAAGGCTGTAAATCTTTACAGGAGCAGAACACCTCATCTTTCTCCCACAAAACAGCTGGTAGTTCAAACTGCTGACCTTGAGGTTAGCAGCCCAATTCTTAACCACTACACTACCAGAGATGTTCTGAAACTTCACTTGAGAAGAGACCTTATCTGACAGCCTGCATTATCCATAAACTTACTTTCTAGGGCTCTTCGGTAATTTAGAAGTCCTGTATTTATATTTTCTCCATTTGATTTTTTTTTTTTTTTTTTTTTTTAACACTCAGACATATGTAATAATTTATAGGAACTTGGTTCCTGTCCCAAAAGTGGTGTACAA